TATATAAACATTTTATATATATATAAACATTTTATATATATATATATATATATATATATATATATATATATGATGCTCCAGAAAACCTGAATCTAAAAAGGGAAAAAATCCATTTGATTCACTCAAAGACATAAATGTGGAGTAAAAACTTAAAAACTCACAACTTACATGCTTAGGGAATGTGATTTCTGTTTAGTTGACCTGTCTAGTCGATGGGTTATTTTCTGAAAAAAATTCCTAAAATGCATTTTTTTAATGGCCTGGCCTATCTTGAACATAAAGTCTGATAACTGATGGTCTGTACTGGGAGCTCCCAAATAATTACATTCTGCTACAGTCGGCAGGTTTTTTTAAGCACATGTCTCACTTTCAGAGTGCTACATACAGTACATCATCTGTGACTTTATCACAGCTGGTGTTCTCTAATAAGGATTTCCTATTCACATTTTCCACTTCACTGAGCGTCACCGTCTGCGTCACATTCATGACCCAAGACAAGCAACATCACCAAAACCAGCGAACTTGCTAGAAATGCTGATTGATATGTGTTCCTGGCCCAGACTTGCTGGCCAGTGTCGGGCCCAGCAATCTGCTTTAACAAGGCTTCCATCAAAATCAGATGATTCTAATATATCTAAGGCTGGGAAAACACTACTACAGAATCCTCACCTGTTGACACTAAAGCAGGGGTCCTTAACCTGGCATCTGTGATCCCCCTTAAGTCAAAGGCAAGTGTGCATTTTCCTGGGGAGAAGCTGCAGAACTGTCAACTTTCTCAAAGGGATGGTAACCAAGAAACTTGATTCTACGTTGAATCATCAAATTCAGCAGAATTCACTTCTGCAGACATACACCAAGCCAAAATTTTCTCCAAGCCTTTTAATATCACTTAAGCAGCTGAGGCACAAGCAATAATAAAACTGCATTTTTTACGTTACAAGAAAGGAAATTTTGTGTATCTGCATGATATACCAATTTTCTGAAAAATCTCTTCTGCGTTGACATTCACACACACTCTGGTCCATAGGCTGAGTCAACAAGGTCAGAAAGGCAGGCAAGATGAGAAACCATCAAGTTTACTGAGGAAGAAGAGGACTCCAATGTTTACCGACTGCCCACCACACACACTGTACCAGGTTTTACACACTTTACAGAAGTGAGGTGTGAACCTAAGTTCTATTTATCTAACAGAACAGCGCTGACACTGCCAGGTAAGCCCCCGTTTTAAGTGCTCTTTAAGTACAAACTGTGGAGACGACAGCGGAGGAGCACAACAAAACGACAACCAACTGCTGAACAACCGTCGATTAAAACGACTGGCAGCTACCAGAAGACATTCTACACCCAAGGACATAAAGAAGGAAGCACGAGAAGGTCAGAGAGGCGCCCTCTCGCCACCATCAAGTCCCACACCAGCTGAGCGGGCGACCCCAGCGAGAGGACACTTACATCGCAGAGCCTCGCCCCCGCGTGAGCGCGGAGCCCTACGGCAGGCTCCGCAGCCGGGGGGTCTGGCATCGGGAGGGCATTTGGCTGGGAAGGCCGGTGCGGCTTCATCGCAGGAGCCCCACAGGACGGGGAGGGAAGGAAGAGGAGACTCTGCTCCGGGAGGGCGCACGCAAGCTCCCTCGCGTGACAACGGCATGACTGCACAGCAGCCTGAGCCCGACCTACCTGCGGGTCTTGGAGGGTCTCCTCGGGAGGTAGCGGGCGTCTGCGGCTCTCTCTGGGGTCATAAATGCTGCTGGCAGACATTTTGGGTCCTTGGTCCCGGAGACCTGGTCCCACTCAACAGCCTGCAGGCTCCAACTCCGGGGCGCCTCAGGCCAAAGCACCCACAGGGCGGGCACCCAGCCCCACCCATGGGCAGACAGGCCGCCTCAACTGCAGCCCAGGGCCACCTCCACACACGCCACTAGGCCTAGACCCAGCCGCGCCCACCAGCGGGTGAGCACCAGCCCCTCCCCTTCCGGGCACCGGCAGGAAGCGCGCGCAAACCTCTAGACCAGCCTCGGCCACTAGGGGGCAGACGGCAGCGGCCGGGAAACTACTGAGTCTGCAAACACAGCTCACTACCTACCCTGGTCCTGTACTGGGACACAAAGGACATCTACCACAGAGGGGTCGAGAAACGTAACTAAGCTACTACGTATGGGTTGACAGAGGCTGATGCAAAGACAGCACACGCAGACGCGGAACCCAGAGGCACGAGGGACCATGAGGGTGCCAGCGACTCCGAGAATCAGCAGAAACGAAGGCAAGGCCTAGAGATTTCACAGATGTGGAACTGGTGAATTTATACAGATATGGTGAATTAAGATATAAATTTAGTAGTAAAGTGCAGCAGCCAATCTACTGGAAAGAGCTCAAGTAATGACTGTAAAGATGATCCAAGAACTCAGGAAAAGAATGGATGCACAGTGCAAGAAGTTCCAAGAAGTTTTTAGCAGAGTTAGAAAACATAAAGACCAACCAAATAAGAGTTGAAGAATTTAAGCACAAATTGTGGAACCAAAACAACAGATCTCTGCCCAAGGAAGAATGCCAATGTGCACTAACATTTCCATTTCCAAAGATCTAAGTGTGCTGCAACATTAGCACATGGGAACGACCAAGCTACTTAAATCTTGGGTTATTAAGCACCATTCACCCAGCATCCCCACCGCCTGGTTCCATCATTGTGTAAAACTTTAGATAGTAAAGAGTGTTCAGCAATTATTTGTCTAGACGGAAAAACTTTTTTGGTATTGGTTGTTGTTTTCAACACAACATAGCTAGCTTTCAAAAGTGGTACCTAATTTTAAAGCACCAAAGCTGTCACTCAAATAAGATGTACTTGGCATAATCAGCTCTAAAGTAAGGATATCACTACCTTCAGAGAGCATTAATGCTGATTATTTCTCAGAAAGCCAAGTGATACCCAGCTTGGGCTGCACTACAGTTCACAAGGGCACATAGTCTTCATTCCCTCCTAAAATAAACCTAAGTTGACCCCTCACACTCCTCCAGCCAGTCCTTAAGTTTTCCTGGGTCCATTCCTCTCTTGCCAAGCTGTCTGCCCCTTGCTCTTTCCCCACCTACAATCCCTCTGACTGCCCCAAGTCCATCCCCCGTCTGGGAAGATGCAGGACAGAAGAGTGTTTCCTAGCTGCACGGTCAATTACTGACGAATCACCACTATACTGTTCTGGATTGGGGATCCTACTAGGAAAATGAACCTACCAACACATGTTTGAACTGGTCACCCCACTCCACCTCACCCCTCAAAAAGCATGCAGGGTTGTCACTGAAAAAAGCACACTGTTTATGGTTCAGAATCAAAAACCTGGAAGGTTCCTAAGGAAGAGTCCTTTAATGTGCAAGGGACCTAGTCTGATGGTCTTATTTTACAGATGAGAAAGAATACTGGAGCTGAGATGTCATGTGGACTTGCCCAAGGCTGGCAGCTATCCAGAGGGAGAAACTAGAACCACACTCCAAACTCTTCCCACTACATCCCAACCACCACAAAACCCTGCAGTTAAAGTTTTTAAGAAAAACAAAATGTCTAATACACAGAAAAGGTCTCTCTACATTCAGACAGAATAAAAGCAACCAGTACAACGAGAAATGCTCAACAAACACCACTAAGTACCAAGGATCTTTATTCTCAGGTCTGATACTGAGTCTGTGGCTGCAGATAATGTCACTATTTTGAGAATAAAAGGTCCCAATATCTTCATTCTTTGCAAGTCTTCAGCCACAAAGTTATACCTTATTCCCGTAACAAGATAAGTGAATCAGGCTAGAAGGGGATTCAGGAGGTACACTGACGATAAAAGCAAAGGGGAACACACACTTTTACAAGCATATTGTCCCAGCTACCTTGAAGGTTAAATTTCAGATTAATTTACAAAAGTAGTGACAGAACCATGATTTCAGTGAAAATCAACACAAGTTATACCTTAAAAAAAAAAAATCAATTCAGAAATACTAAGTCAGGCAAGCATGCAAAATTCAGAGTATTAAAAAATGCAAGGGCTGGTTGCCCAAACAGATATATCCCTCAGAAAAAGGGATTTGAAAATGCTGAACAGAACCAAAGGAATTAGAAGCTGAATCAGCAGACCAATTCCCTCATTTTATAAATGTGGGCAGACATTAACTGGCGAAGCTTACTCAGCTAGATTAAGGGTGTACACAGATCTAATTCCTGGTGCTATTTGCAATTACACATATCTAAAATACAAGGAGATAAATATCCGGAACACATTAGGCCCACTGATATAATCAACGGTGGGAGTGAAGTTACTATAGCACAGCAGCACATTAGACATATTTAAGAGATTAAATGGAAAGAATCTCTTAAAGATTTTAATGCTCAGTTTTAATACACAATCAAGTTTCCATCCAATCATCTGATGTACAGCGAACTGTACTAGCTTAAAAGAAAAAAGTGCATTCTTCAGTTTGCTTCTACACTTTTTTTGGCCTATCTTTCAAAACTGAGCATTGGGTATTTTTAATGTAAGTAATGTGATGTTATATATGTACATTCTAATTGCACGTTTTAGGAATGAACAAAATCCATATCTCGGTAACTGATAGTGTATTTATAAAATCAAAACCTATCAAAATACACTTTTCACTGAGAAAAATAAATAAAACGACAAATGGATTTACACAAAGACTAACTTCGGTAGATCCCAGTGTAGGACAGTCCATAAGAAGCATATCTGCCCTTTACTCCCCCAGAGCTGATCATCTTCCAAGTTCAGATTTTAAAAATATTTTTAAATTGAGATTATTACGTTGACATTTATTTCTCATTCCACATCATCTTCAGCCAAGCTCTGAGCACTTACAATTCTCTGAAAGAGAAAAGAATTTTTAATTTTTAGAAGTATGATAAGCATTTAATCAGGATTCTAAGTTCAACATAAAATGCTCTTTGTATCAAATCTCTGAATCAAATCTTGCTGAGGTTTACCCATACTGAGATATCAACATTTAACACTTCATACGTTGTTTTTATCTGAGAAAATAAAGATCACTGTCAGTCCCATCTCAAAATTCAAGTCAACAAAGGAACCATAACATTATATCGTGTTACATGTTAGTCAATTTTGTAACTAAAACCAAATAAGAATTTAAGATCTCTTTTCACTCCCACAGGAAGAAATACCAATTAGTGCTATACTGATCATTCTATCCTCCAAACATTTCCCTTTTCTGCCTGTAAATGGTCACGGTCATTATACAAGGACATCATCCTCAGGTCAATTACCCAAAAGCACTATGCTATGCTGTCTTTCAAAAGACAGATAATCTTAGACAGAGAATTCTGACAACTGACTGGGAACCACATTAGTCTAAAATAAAAAAGATTCAAACTCCTTATATTTCTCTAATTTTTTTTAAACATCTTTATTGGAGCATAACTGCTTTACAATGTTGTGTTAGTTTCTGCTGTATAACAAAGTGAATCAGCTATATGTATACATATATCCCCATATCCCCTCCCTCTTGCATCTCCCTCCCACCCTCCCTATCCCACCCCTCTAGGTGGTCGCAAAGCACAGAGCTGATCTCCCTGTGCTATGCGGCTGCTTCCCACTAGCTATCTATTTTACATTTGGTAGTGTGTATATGTCCATGCTACTCTCTCACTTCGTCCCAGCTTACTCTTCCCCCTCCCGTGTCCTCAAGTCCATTCTCTACATCTGTGTCTTTATTCCTGTCCTGCCCCTAGGTTCATCAGGACCATTTTTTTTTAAGATTCCATATACATGTGTTAGCATACGGTATTTGTTTTTCTCTTTCTGACTTACTACACTCTGTATGAGAGACTCTAGGCCCATTCCCTTAAATCTTTAGGACCCTTTTCTTTTCAGTCCCTTTCCAGTCTAGATGAGTAAAGATTAAAGAACTGTAGAGATGAGTTTAAAGAATTAATCAGTCATTTTACTAATTTTTAATTATATCAAAGATGAAAATTCATTTAATAGACACGATATTCCAAAAAGTAGATTCATTCGGGCTCCTTGAGAAGGATTTAAAATGAGCATGCTAATTAACTCCTAAGTTATGCTTAACCTCTTATTTAAATGGGATGCAGTCGAATAGCTCCAAACTTGAAGCCCACCTCAGCAGCAGCAGAGACACTGGGGCCTTCAGACAAGTGAGGTCAGAGGGAACCCAGAGCCCTTTATGACCTGACTTCCAAGCTGTGCCACCTTGGCTCCTCTGGCCTCTGCCAGGCCCCTTAACTGCAAGAGGCAGAAAGCTAGGTTCAGAAAGTAGCTGGGAGTGGCCTGAATTTGATGATTTGAATACTAAGGCCTGAGATTTGACACTAAGAGCCATAATTCCTAATCGACCTCCTGGGCACAATCACTAGATTTTATGCCCCCTCATTTGGATGCGTTTCTCTTAGGGAAGAAAAGGTCAAGCACTGCCATCTCCTGGAGGAGAGTCTCATGATGTCATCACGCCCACTAGGCTCCTGTTTAAAGTGCCAATGGCCCTAAACATTTAACGCTCAGATTCCACTCACTTATTTCATAACATTTCAAATCTTTACCTGACTAATTGTTGGGAGCTTAGTCAGAAGCATCTGGAACACTGGTGGTGGAAGAGTTTGCTGCAACACTTGCAGTAACTGCTGTGGCTGTCCACACACAGCAATTGCATTTGTCAGATGGTCCACACCCTTCTCATATTCACCTGGAAGATTTACATAAACATAACATGAGACTGGAAAAGCCTTTGCCTTTGTTCAAAATTCAACCCTAAAGTCTTCACTGTATCTCCAAGTGAATATGACCAAAAACACTGTGCAAGTAAAACCTAGAAAATATAGTAAGCACACTCATATAACTGATTAAGAAGCCATGAACAAGAATGAGTCAGATTACATGTACTGATATTGAAGGGACTCCAACACACATACAAAGGGGGGAAAATAAGGTACAGAAATGTCCAAGTTTAAAAAAAAAAGATATGTCCAAATTTATTACTATTTATATACTAAGAATACGTAAGAAACTGCTAACAATGAAACAATATTTTCTATGAGAAAAGAGAAATGGAAGATTGGGGGACTGAGGTAGACAGGCCCAATTTCACTTTAAACTAATCCCTTATACTGTATGAATATCACCACATGTAAGTAGACACCTAAAGGCCTTTACTCTCTTCTGAACCTAGTCATCACTGGCAGTCATCCTCTCTGCAGATCCAACAGCAAACAATGCCAAACAATCCTGGATACGTTTACACATTTACAGGACCTCAATCGCAGTCAACTTGTCATCTTGAGCTACCTTCACACATGATGTTGCTACAACTTTTGCTGACCTGATAGCCAGATATCAAGTGGTATGTTTTATAATACCAACAGCATTGAAAACATCATATAATCCTTTTAAGACAGAGCAGAGGAAGAACAAACCAAGTGTTACAAGATGGAAGTCACCATTTGGTATGAAACACTGCTGTGTTGAGCAGAATGCTCTCCCTTTCCCCAATGCCTAGGCCCTCCCTCTCAGGGAATTCAAGATGCAGCCTGAAGGAGACGTGAAAATGTTTCCCTGATTGGTAGCTAACTCATTTTCTGTTGTAGACTTTTTCACTGGTTCTCCTACTCACTGATTTTTAATCTTAGTTTGTTGGCAATTTAATGTAGGGACTGTGCCATTTGTAACTCTTTCCGTGAAACTGAACAAATTCTGATTATGTCAAGAAATTATTTCCTGAGCTTCTGGGTTGGTGAATACATCGAAGTGCTAGGAGGGCGGCACCTCCAGAGAAGGCGTGAAAGTCCCCACCCCCTAACCCTACGCCTCTCTTCTGTCTGGCTGCCCCTCAGTACTATCATCTATAATAAACCAAAAAAATAAAAATTAAACTTAAAAAAACAAACAAATATAATAAACCAGTAAACAGTTTTCCAGCCCTGAGTAAGAATGTGACCAAACAAGGGAGTAAAGACTCTAGTAAATGAGGAGGAACTGCCTCCACCTAGCATTTTCATTTGAAGTATTCAAACTGAAGAAACCATTAACTCTACAATGAAGCATTAAAAACGGAAAATATAAGACTTAGGTCTTCCACATAAGACGGGACTTCCATCGGGGACACAATGGCTCCACCGACTTGGAAATTAAGATGCCACATGGCCAGTGAATCCTCATGCCACTGAACTTACAGGCAACAGACGGGATCACACTGTTGTCTGAGGATATGAATTCCGATTATTAAACGGAAATAGAGTGACTATACCAGAGGGCTATGTGTAGAACACAAGGGATCCTCTGAGACACCTCCTAAAACTTCTAAACACACTGGAAACCACTCATGAACAGCCACAGCAATTCAGCGCAGGGAAACAAACCGTTTCCCCTCTGCCCTTGCAGCTCCGATCGCATTCACATATCCTGAGACGAGCTCTTGCTCAGCTAAGCGAGTGTGCTTACGGAAGACCCCTGGACGCAGGACGCCTTGCCAAGCAATGACGCTCACTGCCTAAGCTGCTTATGCTTTCTCATGGCTTACTTTTCCCGAATTCTAACCACCTGAGTCTTCTACCTCAGGCTGGGTTGGTAGATTCCACCAGAAGAAAAGGCAGCTTGGCAGCTGAGTTAAGTACCCCACTGGGTGTGCTGGGCTGAAACGGGACCAACATACGCCTGGGAAAAAGAACAACTCTTCCCTACCCTTCCTTGACCCTCCCATCCCCCCCCACCATGAGTTAACTTTTCTTTTCCATCTGGATCTAAAGGCTAAAGACAAATAGACAGATGCCCACAGTACATGGATCTCCAATATAACCCAAACATACGCTCTATCCTTAGACACATATCATTATACATGCTTTTCTTTTTAGATATTAAAGTAATATAGTCATTGCCTCTCAAATGATCCTTATGAGGATTTAAGTGCTTTACCTTGCCCTATGATTAAACTTCATATTTTTCTTATACCGTGAAAAAAGTCAATCATTTCCTAGTAAGACATTTCCATTTTAATGTATAAATATTAGCAGCTTACTATACCAAACAAATAAAAAACAATTACTGCCTCCCTTACCTCTCTCAAGAATTATTTCTTATGAAACGGGAGACATGATAAAAAGTAGTATCACCATCGTAAACCTTTAATTTCTCCCCACAAAAAAAAAAGGGAAAAAGAACCCCCACAAATGACCTGCATCATGTAGTTCAATACTATCTAAATCTATTATAACAGCGAGAATAAGAAAAACAAGTTGACACTTGATACTATTTTTATTAATGACAGAAACTACTTCAAAGCTACTTTGAGATAAAAGCTAATCTGACAGTAAAAGTATTTATAAATACTTCTGACCAGGTAATTTAACCTTCAACCTTCTCTTATTATATTGGCCATTCCTTCCTGTAAGTACTAGAAAAGACCTGAAGGTTAGATGAAGCAGTTGAGGGAATTATACTCCCAGATATTCTTTCAGTCACTATTTATATATTACACTATGACTGTATTCTCTAAAGTACTTAAAAGCAACCTCATTTGTAAAGATTACTTGTCCTCATATTATTAAATGTCTCATATTATTAAATGCCTAAAAACTTGTCTTGAAATATTTACAGTATCTTTTTAAAAAATAGCCCACACTACATTAAAAAAGCCCCTCATCACCGTAAGTTTATATTAGTGTGAAGAATTTTATCTTGTTTCCTAGTCTTTTAATGAATATTAATTACCTTGAGCCAGTAACTCTTCACCAAGCTGTATTTCTTCAAGGAAAAATTTCTGAACGGCTTCAGCATCTTTAAGGTCAGGTAACTGTTTAGAAATAGAATATTTAGTAACTGATACCAAAATTACTCCAGGGATATAAACAATACAAAAAATCATGCCACTAAAAACAACTGAATAGCTCATTATGAAAACTGACAAAAAGAAATTCATTCTTCAACAACACTCACAAGGATTAGAGGCTAGTATCTACATTCAAATAAATGCAAGAAAAAATACTTTTTGATCAAAGTGGTATTTGTTCTTAGAAAACTGTGAATCAAACCTAGAGTAAAAGGTAAAGAGTACAGGGCTTCCCCGGTGGTGCAGTGGTTGAGAGTCCGCCTGCCGATGCAGGGGACACAGGTTCGTGCCCTGGTCTGGGAAGATCCCACATGCCGCGGAGCGGCTGGGCCTGTGAGCCATGGCCGCTGGGCCTGCACGTCCGGAGCCTGTGCTCCGCAACGGGAGAGGCCACAACAGTTGAGAGGCCCGCGTACCGCAAAAAAAAAAAAAAATATATATATATATTTTAAAACAGAAAATCAATGTCTGATACCAATTAGCATTCTCAAAATACACATTTGAAGTAGACTGTAAAATAACTGTTTCTCTAAAAGAGATTATTACCTTGGAAAGTCCAGCTCTCTCCTTGGCAAGCTTCTGTTTCTTTCTTCCTGCAAGAAAGGTAATATTTTCATTTCATCATTATTAAAATGGGAATCAAAGGAAGTCTAAATGCTGTGGCAGTCATTCATTCTATTTGCAAACCATGCCTGACTCAAGCTCTCTTCTTGTGATTTGTCAGGGTCATAAAAATAGTTCTGGTCAATGAGCTATGGACACTAGGACATTTCTGGGCAGAAGCGCTTTCCTTCCCTCTCAGGCACCAGGATGAGCAGTTTACAAGATGGAGACAGTCCCCGCAGCTGGGTCCCTTGAGTAATTATCATAAACAAAGCAAGCCTCTCCTCCCACCTTCAACCTACACAGGACATGAAACACAAACAAAACTCAAGCCACTGTTGTTTCGGAGCTTTATTGCTAAAATATAACAGACTCTGCCTTTACTGACTTTTGAAAACTACCTGGCATTCCTTTTTTTTTTTTTTTTTTTTTTCCGTTATGCGGGCCTCTCACTGTTGTGGCCTCTCCCATTTGCGGAGCACAGGCTCCGGACGCGCAGGCTCAGTGGCATGGCTCACGGGCCCAGCCGCTCCGCGGCATGTGGGATCTTCCCGAAACGGGGCACGAACCCGCGTCTCCTGCATCGGCAGGCGGACTCTCAAGCACTGCGCCACCAGGGAAGCCCCCTGGCATTCTTAAATAGGGAAAAAAACAAAACCACAACAAAAACAAAAAAAAACACAAAACCAACAAAACCCCCAGCATTTGACAGTTTTCTTTAAAAAAAAAAAAAAAAAAAAGCATAGTTTTTAAGCATTTGGCAAAAATAAGAGGGAAGAAGGGTAGCACTCAGAAATGATTCTTAATTCAACTACTGCCAGCTAGTTAAGGAAAAAAACCCCTCTGCCTGAAGTCTGTAAGTTGTTTTGGTTTTTTGTTTGTTTTTTGATATGAAATAGCAATTCTACAAATCTTAGGAGTAAGTGATGTTATTTAAATCTGTTAGTCAACCCTTAAAACCAAATCAATAATAGGACACTAACAGTATTTTAAGTTGTTGTTTAATTGTACACCCTAAGCATTTGGCAAAAATAAGAGGGAAGAAGGGTAGCACTCAGAAATGATTCTTAATTCAACTACTGCCAGCTAGTTAAGGAAAAAAACCCCTCTGCCTGAAGTCTGTAAGTTGTTTTGGTTTTTTGTTTGTTTTTTGATATGAAATAGCAATTCTACAAATCTTAGGAGTAAGTGATGTTATTTAAATCTGTTAGTCAACCCTTAAAACCAAATCAATAATAGGACACTAACAGTATTTTAAGTTGTTGTTTAATTGTGCACCCTGTGTGAAAGAGTGTTGGCACAAGGAAGCTCGGGCTTCCTTTATATCCCAGATCTTCCACTGACTAGCAGTGTAACCTTGGGCAAGTTACAGTTAACCGGTGTCTCTCCTTCTCTGTATGTAACAACTGGTTTATGAACAATACCTGCTTCATAGAGTTGATATGAGGATTAAATGAGTCAATGTATTTTCAAACAGTGCCTGGTTGGTATCGTGAGATATAAACATTCAGTGTATTGAGACGGTGCAAATGTCCTCTTGAAACCTTAAGGCATTCTATAAATCCAAATTTCAATACATGACTAAAGAGGCAAGTGACCTGCTTGCCTAAGTGCAGAGACAGATGGTTAATTTACTACAGCCAGGGAACCTTTTCTAATCTACACTTACAAACTAGGTTTAACCACACCAGTGTCTCTGGCCAACTCTAGCCCCCAGATTACATAAAGTGCTACAACTCTAAGGCTTAAAAACTGTCTTAGCACTTTCAACAAAAAAATATAGATTAAAGCTATCTTACATATTATTTTGAAGACTGCCTATTTTCCCCACCAGCTACCTTTGCTAGGTGTTCATCACTGGGCAACTGTGGGGAAACAGAACGCATAATATATTCTACCCCCAATTTGCTTAACTAAGGGTTTCGTTCAGCCCTCTTCAGGCAGAAAATAATGACTGATAACCAGACTACATTAACTAATTACTAAGTATCACGGTACAGCCTAGTGCTGGGAGGGTGCTACAACTAGAAGAGAAAGACTTCACAGAGGAATTGGACATGGAACACTTGGATGTTAAGGGTAAGCACCTGTTTTAGATGTTACACGCCAGACACTATTCTAAATGTTATTAATTAGTTTATTTTATCCTCATAGTAACCCTATTATCATCGCCATGTTACAGCACCTCAGAAGTAAACCTGGAAAGTTTGTGGAATAAACAGAGAAATACAATATGCTAAGTCAGAATTATGGAAAATGACAAAAATGATAATGAAACAGTAGAAGGAAACTTAGTTTCCAATCTTATAGGTTTTTTTTTTAAAAATGGAGTGGAGAAGAACGCATGATTGTTGTTGAATGTTTGATAGTTACCAAATTTTAAGATCACTTAGTTGCTTTAAATTTATAGCTGTTAAGATTAAAATTGTGGTTTAATTTATTAGACAATTAACTTGTATAAATTTATAGCTATAAGATTAAAATTCTGGCTTTACTTTTATAAGACAATTAACTTGTTACATTAACTTATTTTCAGGGACAGTATCAAATAGGATCTCTGTGACAAAAGGACACAGAACACACTGAAAAACCAAGGAGTTACACATTCAATCAGCAAATCGACTCAATATTTGCTAGAAATCAGTCCAAAGTGCTACTGTGTAAACCTAACAAGTTAAAACAGACTAAAAAAAACCACATAAAATATGAACTTACAAAAAGCCCCAAATCTAAATCATTCTTAAAGCATTCATTAAATGAGATTACTCAATATATCTTAAAATGATGAATCATTTTACACAGTGCTGTATAATGAAAAACATCTGTAGTTAGCACTATAATTTGTAGATTAATTTTCATTTATTAGTGATTATTTAGATATAAATTATGCTGTAGGAGTTCTGGTAATCTGCTCTTACTAATGGAAGGTTTTAAAAAAACTGAATAAATTAGAATCCCAGATCTAACCTCAAAACTATTTTAAACATCTTAACTCTTTTCCTTAAAAAAGAAAAAAAACACACACACACAAAACAAAACCCCAGAAACACTGATTTGAAAAACGCTGCCCTTTTATTATAGATGTAAATATTCTATTAGGAATTAGGCTAGAAAAACACGAAATTAAACTAAACCGAAATCAATTTCGCTCCACAAATACAAAACGCCATCAAGTTCTTAAAATCGGTCAACCATACAGACTTTAAACAGACTGCAAAATTACTCTGAATAAGGTTTACTTGGTAAAGAAAATATCAAATAATTATATTCATAAACAATCTTTAGCGTTCATCCACTACCATGTGCCAGAGGTACTGTACTAAACTCTACATTACACTATTTTACAACAGAGGAAAACTAAAGGTTGAAATCCGTTGCCCAAGGGTTATTCAGCTACTAATTCAAGCCTGACCACTTAAGTCATCAGGATACTGCTGAAACTAGAAAAAAAATTTATGGATTGAGTATGATGGAAAAGAAATTCTGAAAACAGATTTCTCAATTTGTCCAAAATGATAGTTTCATGATTTCTTCAACCAAAAATTCATTTTCTCAAGATTTAACAATAGGATTGTAGTGTTTCCAAAGGAAAAAAAGGTTAATCCATTCTTTACAGAGCTCTGCATCCACGCCATCACCCCCCCAGCTATTTCTGAAACTACGGGGAAATTATCTAAATTCCAACAGTTACACTTACAGCCAGCATTTACAGGGCCTTCTCCATGTCAGGAATGGTGGCAGGCACCTCAAATATTTTAATCTTCAAAAAACCAACTAGAGGCATTACCTGATTTTGCAAGCTAAGAAAATTAAGACTCAGCCCAAGATTATGCTAATCTGTGACTAACCTGGGCCAGAAAACACAGTGTCTGAATCCAAAACAGCACTATTTCCATTACTCCACCTAACCATTAATAAAATAAATTATCTCCATATCCCTTTCTTCCTGAGACATAGGAGAGCTAGAATCAGATATCATATTGTAGATGGTATAAGAGCACCTTTTCCAGTAAGGTAGTCACTAGCCACGTGTGACTATAGAACACGTGAAATGCCTTATTTTAGCTTAATTAAGCAGTAAATCATTAAATAGGATAATCACTTCTTCGTACTTCCTGGGCTCTAATAACTTACATATAAATTCTAATTTTAGGAGCTGTTTTGACTGAGCAACCTATAGGTAAGTTACCAAAGTTATTTTTTAATGCAACAAATTTGCCCTTCTATTGCTGCAAACGAGATTCAAAGATCACAAAGGTTTTGGTGACACGATTCCCCTCTTGTAAATCTCTCTTAAAAGATGTCGCAGGTATGAAATAAGACTGAGCCACAGAAGCAAAGCCCTTTGGACTCCCCTGCAATCTCTATAGCATTCACTCATATCTTGGAAGCCTTTAGAACGAAGCTACCAAGAGGGTTTAAGAATGCAACCTTATCGTTTGAGAACGATAACCGAGCTGGATTTGCAGATTTGGTCTCAAGCACAAATTCGTAAAATACAAAAAACCCCCGCAACTTTCGAGCTAGAAATCGAAGTTTAGAAAGATCAACAGCTAAAAGGACCACAACTCTCGGCCTAAATCATAATACAAACAAATATGCATCTACACGCCGAAAAGTGTTTGGGGAAAACAAAATGGGAAAGCTCGCTCCTCCAAAATGGAGGGACTCGTGCGGGGCACAAGGGCCGGGAGCAGCCCTGGGAGCGCGCGGCCAGCGCCATCACCTTTCTCTGGCTTGTTAGCTCGCCGCCCCAGACCCGGCAGCACCACGCGGCCGCCCAGCACGCGGCGGCCCGGCGAGGGGCAGGAGGGGATGGGGACGCCGGGGTGGGGTGGGGAGGCATCAGGCCCAGGGGACAGGGGACCCACTCACGTTCCCGCAGCCTGTTCTTGAAGTTGGGGTCACTCCGTCTCTTGCGATCGAAGTAAATGCAATACCCGATGAAAAGGGCCCCGCACACGCCGGCGGCGATGGCGCTGTTCCGGCCCACCATCTTCTCTCCAACGAGGAGCGGGGTCGGCGTCGGCGGGGCCCGCAGAGAAGCCGTTAGCTCAGAACTCTCGGAGCGAACCGCGCCGCTGAGCCCCGACGCCCGCCGCGAGGTACGCGGAAAGGCGGAGATGCGTCACTTCCAGCCCCTGTGGCCGAGGCCCTCTGGGATGGCCGCGGCAGTGCCTGAGCGGAGGCTCCCGTGCTGCTTCTGCGCCTGCGCAGGGGCTTGGGCGCCGCCGCCGCCGCCGCCGCCGCCGCCAATGCCGCCGCTGTTCGCGTACGAGTCGGGATTTTGCTGGAGGCCGCGCACTGCTGTAAAAGCCGCTGAGCGTGATGTAACCAGGGCGGCACGTGGCGGTCGTGCGCACACTCCAAAGCGTGGGTAGCTGACCTCCCTACTTGTGTCAAAGAAGGAAGGTCGCTGACCACAAATGCTTCATCTTTTTATAGAATGCAGGTAACCCGTGACTCTTGTTTGAATTTAATGGAATTTGCTTTTCAAGTTCAGTCACAATCCGTTGTGCCCCAAGGACCATAATCATACGATTAGTAGCTGGCTGGTCAGAAGAGTGAAACCATACGATTTCAAATGATGTTACAGTATAGCCTCAGGAGTGGAAGAAAATTAAATGGAGCGATTCCTGGAAAAGTGTAACGGGTAAGAGATTGAAGGAAAAAAATAGAAAACGTTGAGTTGTCAAGTTGTCATAGCCACTGAAAACATTATGTATGTAGTTTAAATTTAAAGAGGCAGAGGCGGGATCCTCTTTAAAACCTTGGAGTGATAGGCATGTGTTTTATTCATAGTGGATCCTGACAGTTTAGGCTAAGGAGATGGTTCCTGATGGGGTCTGGCCGGTTGGCACTACTCTGTGTAGTGACACGTCAGTGTGCCGTGTGCTAGGAGGGGTAAGTTTCGGTCTCCACAGGGAGGGAACAGAAGCTCTGAATTTGGGACTCTCCCAGACCTCTCCCTCGTCTTTCCCTTTGGCTGGTTGTTTTTTGTTTTTTTGCCCCACGGGACTTGGAGGATCTCAGTTTTCTGACCAGGGATGGAACCCGGGCCCTTGGCAGTGAACGCACTGAGTCCTAACCACTGGACCGCCAAGGAAGTCCCTGGCTGAGTTGTTTCTATTTTTGGCTGTGTTGGGTCTTCGTTGCTGTGCGCAGGCTTTCTCTAGTTGCGGTGAGCGGGCTTCTCAACTGCGGTGGCTTCTCTTGTTGGGGAGCACGGGCTCTAGGCGTGCGGGCTTCAGTAGTTGTGGCTCGGGGGCTCCAGTGCAGGCTCAGTAGTTGTGGCACGGCGGGCTCAGTAGCTGTGGCACACGGGCTTCGTTGCTCCGCAGCATGTGGGATCTTCCCGGACCAGGGCTCGAACCGTGTCCCCTGCATTGGCAGGCGGATTCTTAACCACTGCGCCACCCAGGAAGCCCCCTGGCTGCTTTTGATTTATATCCTTTTGCTACAATAAAACTGTAATCATACGTATGTTCTTGAGTTCTGAGTCCTTGCAGTGTTATTGAACCTGAGAGGGTAGTAGGAACCTCCAAATTAGTAGCTGGCTGGTCAGAAGAGTGGCCTGGAGACACCACCCCTCCCCCACATCTGTGACTGGTGCATGAGGGCAGTCTTGTAGGGGACTGTCCACTTAACCTATTTAGTTTGGCTCAACTCTGTGGTAGTTGGTGTCATTAGTTATTGCAAGGGTACCTATGGAAACATTTAGCTGGAACTCCTAACCTAGTCCAAAAGCCTAGGAAAGCCCTTCTGCCTGGACCTGAGACCCTATAAAGGACTGGAAATTAGATCAAAGGTACATGTGCATTGACAGGACTGCGGTGGGGTGTGAAAGGGCATATGCACCAAAGCAAAGCAAATGATTGAGATCAGAGGATTGCACACAACAGGAAAAAAAAGCTCTTCCTTATATCCCGCACACATACAGATTCTTCCTATCCCAAAAAGTGCACCTCAACTGATACAGGTAGGTCCTGAGCCTCAGGGGTGTTGGGACAGAAGACTCACAAGGCCACACAGATGACATGAGGCCTCTTGGAAATCTGAGACTGTCCATTAGATTATGACTCTGAACAAAGAACATGCTGTTCTTCTGTATCCCTGTTGTACAGAGTAAATGCCATGTAAATGTGAGGTCACTGCTATGAGTCCAATAAACCAGGCAACACATTTATACAAAGCACAGTTAGTGCAACACCCGTGCCTTTGAATCTCTCAACCACACTACAGTTTTTAATACTTCTTTTTTTTTACATTTGTAAAATACCTATAAGCACAGAATCCTGAAACAGAAACAGCCTGGAAATCCCTGAGGCATGTTGCTTGTGAGTGGAATCATTAATGGGTTGTGGAATGACCTTAGGGGACCATCACCAGTGTTTTAAATAAAATAGGATAGGGGCTTCCCTGGTGGAGCAGTGGTTGAGAGTCCGCCTGCCGATGCAGGCG